CAACAGTCGCGCTATAATTCTCAACGAACGTCTCACGTGCTCGACTTCAACAATACTCCGTTCAATTACACACTCTCTGACTACAGTTCAATTACTCACTGTCCCGTCGCGTTGTGACCATCTTATATATACCAGACTACCCCCAATCTAGTAGTCTCCTGATAATTCACGAAGGTTCGAGAAGGACGTGGCGTGATACTAGTCACGTGACCTCGCTGACGCAACAATAGTTTACCACTTAAACTTCAGAACTGACCTCCTCCATGCTTGTGTTTTGTTTTCGTTCACCAATCTTCCGAAATGTTTGTTTTCTCTTTAATTTGCTTTTTATTTTCGGATAAGTGTGTTTTCTCCTCAATGCAGCGTTTGAAAGACCAGACTGGACTTTGTTTTTATGTAGCAGAAGACAGCAGCCATTGAGGTACGTAGTAAACCTGTCAAGAGAAAACAATAAAATATTACAAACACAATCAATAAATGGCTTAAAGCTTCATTTCCTGATCTACGATCGATCCCAATCGTCTATCTTTAGCAGCACGATAGTGTTAATTAACTTTCTCGTGAAGAACTGTATAGATTAAGAATGTGTTTTCGTGTAAACTGTGTTTAGATGAAGACGTGTTATGTACAATACTTATGCTGCTGCTATTTTTTGCATATGATAATATTTTTACATAGTAAACACTGGTTTATTATTTGTTTGACTTATCTACATACATAGCCGAATTGTGGGACCACATTCTTTCTAAACAGGAGATATAAATAACAGCCTGTTTATCGTCAGTAAAAGTATAAATGGAAAAGTAATACTTGGTGAATTTCTAGATCCGGTCAACGCAAAACTACCTCGAACGAAGAAACTAGTCTTAGTGCCACTTTCACGGATTGTTAGGGCAACATTAATAAAATATTTCGACCTGTGACACGCGTCTAAAGGATACATCTTAACTCACAATTTTTATATAAAATGGTATTGGAAAGGTTTTATCATTTACAACAATGAGAATATAGTTATTCGTTACAATGACAAAAGCTTTTATAACTCATACACGTTGTAACGTTTTCAATACAATATCGCCACTTGACTTCAAGTTAGAACTTTCTAGCTAACACATAAGTTAGAACATTAAATTTAGCTTACAATAAATATAAAAAAGATTTATATTTAATTTAATATCTGAAAATAATATGCTAAACTCATAGGATAAGATTTATCAAACTTCGCCTAGAGTTTACTTTCACTTATCATAATACATGTATTGATAGAATGTATTTACTTATAATACACGTATTGACAGAATGGTTTCTTGGTAAGAGGCATAGCTCGCCACAGTAGATCCGAGGTTCCCATTATTTCAAACAATAAATCACGCTTCGCACTGTGGGGACGTGGGTGACGGTCAAATCTCTTTATTCGATTTGTGGGTAGTAATAAATAAACTTCTACCCTCACTTTAAAATTAGGGACAGCTAGCGCAGATAGTTCTCGAGCAATTTAGTGAGAAATTCAACAAACAAAAAATTACTTCGTAAGAAGTATTCCAAGAAGAATTCCTGCGAACATGGCATTCCAACATGGCGCGCCATCAAGTTGGTGGTGTAGTGTTTCCGAGTTCGTTAAGGTCTCTAGAATGAGTTCTGTAAAGAAAACATTTTATATTCCATATAAACTTTCCATGGTTTTAATTTATAAAGTGATAGTTGTTGTGTAAAAATAATTTTACCGAATATTTGATCAAGCGTATGTATTAGAAACGTTGTCCACAAGGAGCAAATACTTGTATAAAACATCATTTGAAAAACAACATTTTAATCAGATTTTGACGTATACTTTGTGACATATACGCTGTCATAAACTATCTCAGAAGGTCATTGATAAAATTAATTTGTTAAAATATTTTAACAAAACTTCTAGAGCTTAGAAACGCTTGAAAATTAACTTCGATTGTCCTATCATTAAAAAAATAATAATAAATTCATAATGCAAAAAAAAATTATGAGTTACTTGTTGCGCCATCTCTTATAATTGTGCACAAACGGAGATAAAACAATTATTGATGCACTACAGAAAAGGGTCTCTGTTTTAAACAGAGTAATTTTATT